GGTGGTCTGCAGCTGAACTATCAGAGGTGCCTAATTTCTGGTTTCTCTCATAGCTCATTTAAGAACTTACAGTTTTGAAATTCTGTCTGCCATCATAAAGTTTTAATTGTTTAAAGTTTTTAAATAAAATTAAAGTTTTTCTTTAAATGAATGGCTTAAGATGTATTAAGCCTTCAGTTTATAGAAAGGCTAAAATACTGATATGTAAGAAACTACAGTATGTGCACAACGTTTGCCACATACAGCCCAGTAAAACTGCTCCTACACAGCAACCTAGCTGTTGGGAAGTTGCTTCCATAATACAACTTCACCTGGAGTCTAGTGAGATGGATCTGATACCATCCAGATGAACAGAATAGAAATTGGTAACTACCGCCATTAGTTCTTCTACAAATCTTTAAAGAACATAGCTAACACCAGAGGTTAGAAGAATCATACAACTCCTGATGCTCAGCCCTACTTAATAAGAATTGACATTTTGAATATCACTCGATGTCAAGCTTGATCAGAGGCAGAATGGGCCTTCTATGACTCTTTTAAGCCTCGGGAGCTCCCCTCCCTCCTTGAAGTCTTCAATTCCATGGAAGGCTAGCTCTAGCCCTGTCAAGAAGTGATATTTAAGGGCAACCCACATTAATTTTTAAAGTTTTTTTTTAAAAAATAAGCTATTACAAAGTTGCTAAAATATCCAGAATCCAAGCAGAGCCAAGCTAGCTAACACTGGTTGGCGAAGCACTCTTAATTCTGTTTGGTTGCAATCCCCTTCTCTATGGTCCACCTGCACTTCCTCAGTCAGAGGTGAGGGACCACTTTGGGGTGCCAGGCCAACCTCAATTCAGCAAAACCCTCACTGTGTCCATTCACCTCCATCTTCCCTAGTGGGGAAGGCAATGGAATAAAAAAGTTGGACACATTCAACAAATACTCTGGGAACCAGCTCAATCCAGAGTTCAAGACTTAGCTAGCTCCTGAACCACAAGCTACATGGCTTCACTTTCCCCTTGCATTCACAGCATGAATAAGGGAAGCAGAGAATGAAGCTAAACTCAGTTAGCTTTGCTCACTTGTAGGGACAGAGGTAAAGAGAGCAAAACACTCCCAGCCAAATTAGAAATTGGCCAGCTCCTTAAAACATGGGTTGAGAGCTGGATGGATTCCCTGCCATCTGTTGTTTCTCTGGGCAGAATTAATGGTGGGAATTTCCCAGCATATGCTGGAGACTTTTTATTATTATTTATTATTTATTTAATTTATATCCCGCCTATCTAGTCCCGAAGGACTACTCTAGTAGTCCATGCAAAGTTTAAAAGAAAAGAAAAGAAAGAAAGAAAAAGAAAAAAAAGAATCAACACTTGTAAGAAGGATTTATTTGCATTCTTCTTAGCAGTTTTGACATGGAAGATGACAGAACTAGATTAGATGCTTACAAAGTAATCCATCTGGTATTTGTGTGGCTTTGGCATGTTTGCTTAAATCAGTTTATTGAGAGAGAACCTAGTCTTTTAAATTATGGGATACTAGGCTATCCTTGCATCACCCCTTTTCACCTACCTACTCTACTGCAAATCAAAACATCATTTCAAAGTTGGGGATGCTTTGAAAATATCTTCACAAGAGTCAATGAATCCCAAAGGTAGAAGAAAAAATAATATTTGCACATTTTGAAATGTATTTATTGCAAGGGGACTATAATATTGATGGAATCTCTTTTAAGCCGGTATCAATTGCATGATAAACTTATATAAATAAAGAAGTTATATTTGTTCCATTTTCCATTTATCACACTGATTTCAGTGGGTCTAATCTAAAGGTTTGAATCTTAGTCATAGATCTTATAATTAAACTGTGTTTTGAACAGAATAAACTTAGTACATACCCTTTCTTACAGGTAAAATTTACTTTTGCCATGTATAGAAGATCAGTTAGAATAACTGTGTCACCATTTTCTGGTTTTCCAGGATCACCACATGATTTTCCTAACAGAAAACAACAATGAGACTTAACATACCTATTACTATATTTTCTTGCCAGATTATTAAGCAATTTGTATATGCAGCATGTAGGTCCCTAACATTTAATTCATTCAGTTTATTATAATTCAGTAATGGGCCATGAAGAAAACTTCATGGCCCATGAAAATTCTGGCCTTCTCAGGAAGTGATCCCCTACAATGTAGATAAATTACTCTTAAAACTGAAAGGAAGAGAGAGTATCCACACTGCATACAGGCTGTGATAGAGCAGAAAAGCTATATGTGTCTATGTTCACTGTGATTAACATCATTAAGCATGCCATATGGACTGTTTTGTGCTTGTGCAGATATTCTTATAAAGTTGACGGTGTGGTCTTGGTGTTGCTTTGGAAGTTAATTTCTTTTTCATTCCTGAATAATATATTTGCCTTAATATCCATATCAACATCCAAAATTCAATATAAGACAAAATGATACATAGAAACAAAGATTATATCAATCAAATTAAAAATGAATGAAAAGCGTTTTGCATCAGTATGTATTATTTTCTTATAATTCTCAAGACTCTAGTAAGAAGCAACCTGACTATCACAAGCCAAAACAGCAACTGCACCATGTGGTGGTGTTATTGTGATTGTTGTTATTGTCACTGTCACAAAATTAACTAAAAAGAGACTCACCTTTACAAAAAACTGGGAGTGTGGACCAGGTGTAATTTTCATGACAAGTAACAACTGAACTGATTCCAGGGATGCTGTCATAACCGGGGCGGCACAAATAGCTCACGTTGGTCTTTGCAAGATAGTAGCTCCTAATATCCTTTGGATTTGTTTTAGCAAAACTGGATCTTGGTGGTTTAACACAGCTGGCTGGAAGCAAAAGCAGACACAAAAGCATAAAGATCGGACTAGCAAGGAGTATAAAAGGCAGGCTTCATTTTATATATATATGAAGCATCATGTATCATACCTAGGCCCTCATGCTTTCCCTTCTAGGCTCCTAAAGGAGTCCTAAGAAAATATATGACAAGTTCAGAACAGCACTTCCAAGCAGGAGGCAATTTGCTGTTTCTGTGTCTTTACATTTTAGACACCGATATGTGGACAAATGTTCCTGTGGAATCAAAAAAGTACCTGTCCTCTTATGTTAGGGAAGAAACAAACAAAAATGTTGCAGTAGCTTGCTTTCTGAACAGGTATAATATTTTTTAAAAAAGTTTTAAAAGATGGCCATAATTTAACTGGCAATTTACTATTGAATAACTGTAAGTCACAATTGCAGATTGTATATTCATTGAAGTGAAGGAGCAGTAGTGTATGATGGCCGTCAGCAGGCAGGCCACATCGTGCAGGAGGTGCCAGAACCCTCAGTTGGTTCAGGAAATATGAAACATATAAATGTAACAGAAGCTATGACTACAAATCAGTTCTGGACATGGTTGTTGTGGATTTTTTTGGGCTCTTTGGCCATGTTCTGAAGGTTGTTCTTCTTGACGTTTTGCCAGTCTCTGTGGCCGGCATCTTCAGAGGACTGGAGTAGGAACTCCAGATGGACAGAGTTCCTACTCCAGTCCTCTGAAGATGCCGGCCACAGAGACTGGCAAAACGTCAAGAAGAACAACCTTCAGAACACACAGCCTAGAAAACCCACAATAACCATTAGATCCCGGCCGTGAAAGCCTTCATGAATACAGTTCCAGAGATGTTTGCTGCAGTTACAGTATGGGCTGATGTGAGGTGTTTTTTTTTTCTGATCAAATGCAACAAAAGCTGATTCAAATTGGTCTGGCCTTTTTTTTCCCCCCCAATGCCCCCTTTTTTCTTAGCCACTGGAGGCTCTACTTTTTTTTTTCCTTTCAAGCTGCAATGATTCAAATTGACTTTTTCCTGTGTTATCAGTTGATTTGTTCTTACAAAGATAGGGGAGCATGTCTGTAAGTGGTGTTCTGGGGATGTAGACAGCTGGTGGTCAAGACAGCAGGAACACCTGCCCCACATTCTTTCTCAGAGAATGTCCTTTTTTAAAATCACTAGTAGTGACATACTGTACTAGGTTAGTGATAGATCACCTCCCAATAACTGCAAACAAAATAGAAACAACTCAGATGAAACAACAGATGTTGCTATGACATCTGGTATTTTTGTACACATGAAGAACTTTGGAATGCTGCCACCTTTTCTAGAACAGTGTACAATCTTTTTGAAACCATGCAGCTTGACAGCAAATAATAAATGGTTCGGCTGAGGCAAAACCAAAGGAAGGAAGGAATGAAAGGGGGTTGTAGGCTGAAATGTGTATGACATCACACTGAATATAAACATTGAACTCCCAAAACATCTGCAACCCCTATGTGATCATTGATTGTGAATTCAACTGTAATAGAGGCTGCAAATCAAATCGGAGCAATTGGGCTTGCTGGTGCAGTTGCAACCTAACTCTAACCCTCAATACATGGGAATTCCCAGTGATGAAAAAGATTCCCCCAGAACTCAAGTCAATGCAATTTTTATATAGCCATGTAGATGAGGGTTAATGGTAATATTGCATATACACTTGGGATGTCCCCATAAACGAATAGAACATTTGTGTGTTCATTTGCCCTGAAAGATCTCTGACACAGTACAAGTTAAAACCTTAAATTTTTGTATGAATACTGGTGAACTCACAGCGCAAATAATTATTTGGGTTATATCCTATATGGACATGTTAGCTTGGGAATTTATTCCTGTGACCTAAACAGTCAGAGCTAGAAACATGAGAAACATGAATTTATACTACAGATTTTCCAGCTTAAATAACTAGATAGGTTATATCTCCATGTCTGGTGAGGGATTTTGGACTTCTTGTCTTCTGAGACTTTTAGTCTTCCTAACAAAATGATAACAGCTTCAAACACAGTTTTTTTAAATAGGATTACTGCTGACCTCCCAGCTTAAGTAACTGGCTAAGCTGTATTGTGAAAATAGTTCACTCTTATAAATAGTAACCATGGGAACAGCATATAAATAAATAAACAAATAATTCATACGTTCACAAAACTCTTCTATGGGTGTCCATTGTGACTCAGAAAGGCATGTTGCTACATCTAGTTTTCCTCGGATATTAAAAAAACCATCCAGACATTTGTAGGTTACTGATTCCAGAGAACTGAAATTTTCTTTATGAATTTCCACAAGGGGAATGGCATTGTTCAGTTTTGGTGGTGGTCCACAATCACCTAGGATGAGCAAAGAAAATAATGGATTTTAATCAGTACATACATGACGTGTTTTCAAATCATAACTATATTCAATATCAACGAGATTCCTGCAATAATCTATACGCTAATGTCAAGGGACTGCTCACAGTCTATAAAATACTTCAAACAAATCTCTTAGTGGTCGCTATCTTATTCAAAGTCACAGCTCTGAGAAGTTCCTATCTTAGCGCAGGGAAAATGAGCTGATGTTCACTTGCTATCACACTATTATTTTCTAACTCTTGTGAGTCTCACCTAACCTAACTCGGGCTTGTTTGGGATGAAGTTAAAGGTCAAGACCAAACTGACCTCAGATACTTTTCACTGCAACAGGGATAGCTTGTAACAATATACAGTACTCTTCTTGAGAAAATCTATTAAAAGAAAGAGAGAGTGTGTTATAGTCCTCATTCCCTAGAAAATCCTGCATCTTTAACCTTTATCAGCCTTGGCTCCACTATACCGCTGCTTATTAAAAGTAGTGACTGAGGCTGAACAGGCTAATAATATATCTCTCAAATATATGCACCTTACTGAACTTTGGCTTATTTTGGCTTAACCAGAATAAACGCTAGGTTCTCTATACTGTCAGTTTGTAGAGGTTAACAAAATCAGTACAGTATAGACTGAAATCTAGACCGATTAATTATATTATTTGAAACATTGTATCTTATAATCTACGTCGGAAAAGGAGTCAGAACCCCTCTCCGTAGGTGACAAAGTTTCCTGTAAAGAGTAATGTTTGGAGCAGACGACACTCGGGGCGGGCACGCTGGCCGCGGACCCGCAATGTTAGCCATCCTCTCCGCTGGGCTGCAGCGCCCCCGCCCTCTCGGTATTTACCGTGAATTCCGGCGAGGAGTGACGAAAGCACGAAGAGCCTCAGAGGACAGCTGGACACGAAAGCCCCCAACATTGCACGTCGGTACCCTTCCGAGCACTTCATCCTCTCGAGAGCCCCGTGAGGATCCGGGGCGGGGTTTCGGCAAAGCGAGTGGAGAGCTCGAGGGAGTCCTTAGTTAGCGTCTGCCGATCCCTTTTGGGTGTTCAAGTTACAACTGCCTAGTATCTTTTCTCCTCTCTCTCTCCTTCCGCCGCTCCCCCCTCCCCGAAGTTTCTTGTAGTTGCTCGTAGTTTCCTGTAGGTCCGCGTTTTCTCTCCACAGCCTCAAGGATGACGGCTCATGTTGTTCCTTCGTTGCCAGCGCTGCTGACAAAAATAATACCGAATACAGGCTTCTGGTTTTCGGGAATCCCAAAGATGAGTCGCTCTGGAGCCACGCCCACATCACACCCAGGCTTTAAAATTGTTGCTACGCCCTAGCAGTAGGCATCCTTCAGTCTCAAGAGACTACAGTGACCTGCTCTGAATAGAGGTCTTCTTGGGATAGCGTCTAGTATGTCTTCCACACTGAAGACAAATAGTCTCTCTCTTGTCCAGCTCCCTGACTTTGCTGGTTTTGGGACTGCCTCTTTGCCTCGGCATGCTGAACAAGTGTCTCTTCAAATTGGGAGAGGCCATGATGCACTGCCTGCAAGCCTCGTGGCTAGCAGAAGAAACAGCAAACTAGAGCACTGTTCAGGCCTGAAAGAATATAGTTCCCTTTCAGTTCTGGATGCTTGCACAAGATATTACTCCTTTCCTTCAGGGAGGCTGAAAAAGGAACAAAACTCCCGAAATGTCATTTCAGTTCCTGTAACCTGGTATTTCGTCTGGAACACAACTGAGGAAACATACAGCCATACTGTATAGAAAGAGTATGGTTGTAACCTGCTATTTCACCTGAACAAAATAGGAGGAAATGTACAACTATACTGTATAGAAGGAGTATGGCTATACAGTATAATTTGCCCATATGGACTATGAGCAAATTGTAATTTTTTATCCAGGAAAGGGACACCTGAAATCAAATTGGACCCTGGAGAGCATTCTATGCAGTGATGTTTATAACAGTTTAATAGAATTTTAGAAGTACCCAGTAATAACTGGCATTGAACTTATTCATATGCATTTGTGGAGAAAATGTTTCCCTCATTAATGAAATCCCCAGAACACCAAAAGCCTTATGAGGGGAAAAATGAAAAATGGATATATTTAGTGAAAAAACAAGACTGAGGGGAGATTTGATAATACTCTCCAGTTAGTTAGGCATCCTTCAGTCTCGAAAGACTATGGTGACGTGCTCTGTATGGAGGACTTGGAACAGCGTCTAGTGTGGCTGAAGAGGCCAATTCGAGAGTGACAATCTCTTCCACACTGAAGACAAATCCAATCTGTCCCCTGTCCAGCTCCCTGGTTTTGCTGCTTTTGTGACTTCCTCTTTGCCTCAGCCTGCTGCACAAGGGTCTCTTCAAATTGGGAGAGGCCGTGATGCACTGCCTGCCTCCAGGCTGAACGGTCAGATGTCAGGGTTTCCCATCTGTTGAGGTCTATTCTAAGGCCTTCAGATCCCAGTTGCAGATATCCTTGTATTGCAGCTGTGGTCTCCCTCGGGGGCGATTTCCCTCCTTTGGAATCCGACCATCAGCCATTCTCACGACGTGCCCATGCCCAAGCCAACATAGATGTTTCAGTAATGTATACATGCTGAAAATTCCAGCTCGATCTAGGACTACTCTATTTGGAACTTTGTCCTGCCAGGTGATACCAAAAATGCATTGGAAACAACGCATATGGAACATGTTCAGCTTCCTCTCCTGCCATGCACAAAGGGTCCAGGACTTACTGCAGGCTCTATAGACCTGGATCTTGGGTGTATTGTATGCTCACACAGCAGGATTTATTGTTTCGGTATGAACTGGGGAATCCAGAGCCTGCCCTACTATTGGCCAGAGGAGAGGTGGTTATATGAGGCAGCATATTTTGGGTACCATGGAAGGACAGCGGTATGTTACTGTTTAATATATTATTGCAGGATTATTACTGGTAGGGAGAAGGTACGTTACTGTTTACATTATTGCAGGATTATTACTGGTAGGGAGAAGCAGATGAATTTCCAGGATTTTCTGGTAAAAGTAACTTGGCCAGCAGAGATGAGAGCATAGTGATTGTGTAAGGTTTCAGATTATGTTTTATTTGTTATATTTACATCCAGCCTTTTCTTTAGCCAACTCAAGGCAGCATGTGTGGCTCTCCTCCTCCCTACTCTTTGTACAGCCGCCATCCTGTGAGGCTGGGAATGTGAGTGGCCAGCAGCTACACAGTGAACATAATAAATGAGGATTTGAACCCAGATCTCTTGAATTCTAGTACAACAGTATAACCAAGCTGGATTTTGCCACAGGCTTGATCTATTACATGCTTTTGCTGATTCATGGGATAGCTTTTTTTCCTCCTATTACACGTAAGTGGTCTCAGTCTGCTCAAAATGATTGAGTCAGAGTGTCACTCTAATATTTATATAATCATTGTTCTTAGCTTTAAATATTGCCCTCCTATTACGCGTAAGTGGTCTCAATCTGCTCAAAATGACTGAGTCAGAGTGTTAGGGACACTCTAATATTTGTATAATCATTGTTCTTAGCTTTAAATATTGTCTTACAACATTGTATGCCACCTTGGGGAAAGGCAGGGTAAAATTATTTAAAATACTGTAAATAAAAATAAATAAATCTCAAGAATCTGAGATGGTAGAGGGAAAACTTTGACATCATGCCATGGGTTATGGTTTGGCGAGGGTTTGTGAGGAAGACCTCACAAATTGATGGTAGGTTTTATTTTATGGTTTTGTATATTTATTCACTGCCTTTATGTACCAGCTCTCCTTGAAGGAGCTCACAGCCCTCCGCTGCATTTTATTCTCATGACAACTCCATCTAGTAGGTTACAAAGGGAATGACTAGTCCAGGTTACCCAGTAAGCGTCGTGCTAAATGAAAATTTGAACCTGGGCCATCCTAGTTCTTGGCCACCGTTCTGACAACTACATTTCACTGATAAGGTTCTGGCAGCTGTCTTTGGGATAAGAACCAACTTGTCACAACACTGCACAGGAAATAAAAAGAAATGCAGGCCCACTGACAAAAGATGCCAAAAACTATCCCAAGGCGTGATAATATTTAGAGTGGATGCTTCTGATCAGCAACAAGTGCATCAAGGGTTTTGACAATATTTTCTGGAACTGTTTCTAATGATGCTTCCCAGGCAGCAATTTTTTAAAAACAACATTATGTGCCATTGTGGACACATTATGTGCCATGTCTGCAGATCTAACAGCCAGAAGCAATGGCACATCAACTAGAATTCTCCTTGCAGTGTTGGGCCTTGCACAATGGCACAGTGTGTTGCAGTCAGATGTACACAGGTGGAAACTGCCCCAGGATGTTGTGGTGCAAATTCTGTTACTCTTCAGAGATCTGGCTAGCTATTGATGCCCCTCTGCTTTGATTCTCCACTTTATTCCTACTTCCCTCTCAGTTTTCAGTTCTCCTTTCCAGACAGCATTTCAGGTTTGCTTCAGGCTTTTCCTCCAGGGGATGAAGGGCTTACAACAACCTTGAGGTTCTCTGAATCTGCCATTTCTCATGCTCCTGGCTGGCCTCTTTTTCTTATATGTGAATGCTGTCATTTTATTTGTGTAAAAACTGGTGCAATTTCTAGGACCAGGTCCAAGATAAATAATAAAACTATGTGGCTAATGTAGGGAAAGGCTGTAAACAGCAGGGGCAGGGTGAGGAAGCAGAGTGATATGCTCATCCTCTGACGCAACTGGCTTATATTACATAGTGCAGGCAAGAATTCTTTCTGACAACCACTAGTATTCAAGTGCTGATTGGGTCAGAGAGTGTAAATGACCCCACCCATGGAAAGGACTGTAGTGGCAGATAAGCTAGAATTTAGCAAATTGCTGTGTATTGTGTATACTTCTATCTTAAATATGCTGTGTGCGTGAGTGAGTGCATGAGAGAGGGAGTTCATGTGTCCATTGTAGTCCTTTCTGTACCAGTGAGTGCATGAGAGAGGGAGCTCATGTGTCCATTGTAGTCCTTTCTGTACCTTTGCATCAGATTAAATTTCACATGAGTTCTGAATTAATTGCATTTCAAATCAATTTGATGCAACAATCTTACATATTTTAGCAGTGAATTATTTCACTCTTCTAATAGTGAGTTTTCATTGTAGTTTGGCCCTGAAATGTCTTTCTTGAAACTGAAGTAATGGTACCTCATCTAGCATGTCTTCCATTGAGTTGATTCACGAACATATATTTGGCTCTTGTGGTCCATGGTGGTGGTTTGGGAAAGGCAGCTGCCCTTTACCCTCCCAAGACACAGACATTTGGAACATTGGTTTCAGAAACCTTTATTCTTTTTTGCATCGTGGCAGCAGAAGGGGATTTTTTTTCTGGCTTTGGAACCTAATCCAACATGTATTTTCATAGGTATGGACCTTCTGATCTACTGGCAACTGACCCAAGAAAAGCTTTCTGCTCTCCTTTCATCATGCTGGTCTCCTCTTTCCTTCACCCAAACTGCCATGGTACCTCTTTTTTTGCCTGCAGGAGATGTTATTATTCCCCTTTTTGGACATAGTCAACATAAACAAGCACGAGTCTCTCCTCATTAGAACTTTAAATCTAAAGAAATTCCTTCCACACTTGAGTTTTCTGAACTGGCATGGTGGTCATGTGGAAGGAAACCAGTATCACATGCTCTTGTGGCATTTCTCTGCCTCCAGAATGATGGTCCATAAAATAATACTCCCTCCTCACCCAACTTTCTCAGCTCAATGTTCTGAGCCAAGAACATGCCCTGTGCCCAGATGCAGCACCATCCATGTCAAAGAATGTAGCTCACATAGCAGGTATGAATTACAGCAACTGCTTTACCGTTAAGGGGAGCCGACAAACAGAGTAAAGTAAAGCAAGTAAAAACAACCTAGTAATGTTGTTTTTTCAGAAGTTCCACAGTACTGTACAACCAAATGCAGCTCTCTGCCAGGAGATTAAGGGGAGCAGACAAACAGAACAGCAAGTAAAAACAACCTAGTAATGTTGCCTTTTCAGAAGTTCCACAGTACAACCAAATGCAGCTCTCTGCCAGGAGGGGGATAAGAGGTGGTGAACAGATTTAGGCACTTCAGAGAACGTGCCAGTAAGAGAAACAACATCTAGAGATATATCTTTCTTATACTTCCCCTGGCAACCATCTCTTTTTCAGGATGAACTGCTAGATGGGTGGTTCCCAACCTTGGGTCCCCAGATTCTCTTGGACTAAAACTCAAAGAAGCCTTCACCATTAACCAGCTGTGCTGGCTGGG